GTGGGCTGTATAGGCAGAAAGTATCTTTGCGAAGAGTGTAAATGCATTAGGAATGGATGAAGAGTGTGATGGGTTGAATGAGGGCAGTTTCAGGAGCTGGCAGTCTTGAACTCTAAAATGGAAAACAAGAGAGAATTAGAAATGAAATCTTAGCAACATGGCACATGTACAGCAGACATGATTAATTGTATTGGCTGATATTCGTGGGAGGAGTCTTCATAAGTGTATGGATGATTGTGAATGGAAGCGCCTTTGTTAATGCATGTTCCAATACTTAATGTCACAATGTGCTAGGGTTGTAGAAGTGGGCATTTGTCCTCCTGCAGGGTGGTAATTGGAAGGAGAACTGAGCGTATGGGGCGTTTCTATGCTGGAAGTCCAGGAAACCTCTTGGAGAGCTGGTGAGATGATGATGGAGTGGAGTTTAAACCCCTTACTGATATAGAAGTTTTTAAAACTCGAATGTATTTAACACAAAGTATAAGTATGAAAGCTACTCCATGGCCAGAAATGTCCTCCTCTTGTTTATTGCAGTCGAGCAGGAAATTGTTTTCTTACTGTCATTATAAACTGACTGACATTCAGGTGTATTGATATGAGAGTCACAATTGGCGTGATACAAAAGGGTTACTGCTTGATGTGTAGGTTGTCTATCACTTGCTGGGTAATACTCATTTCAGAATTTTATTTACATTTTTTTTTTTTTTTTTTTTTTTTTTTTAAATATATGTATATATAATTATTAATAAAATGTAAATATATCAACTGCCTACATCAAACTTAAAAAACGATGTTGCCACTTAATAGGAACTGTGTGAATGTAATGTTTATCATGGCTTTACTCCATCCATGATAAGTAACATGTCTATAATCTCAACATGATTATTTGGCCGGAATCAAAGTCTCTGCACGCAGTCCATTCATGAATTTGTCGGGAGAGAAGGCGGGACCGTCTCCAGTTTTGGAAAGCTCATTGGATGGTGATACTTCCCCTTTAAGCTATTGGCTCCTTGGAGTCACGGTCAAGAGTTCAGAGTGCAAAGGCCGGCGGCCATTTTGTAGATCAGATCGCTACAATGTTTATGCGTGAAAGTATGGCTCCACTCTCACCAGCAGCTGGTTTGGATATCAGTGCACCTTTTCATGGATGTATATCGACGAATGAAGGTGTTATGGAATAATGTTTATGGATTAGATTGCCTGGTCATTTGCCTTCGAACTATTTCAGCTGTCAGAATGTTATGGATCTGCTGACCAGCGGGAGGCTGAGAGGTGAGTTCTTCATTTAAAGCGTTCTATTCACGCTGATCTCGCCAGACTTCCCTTTAAAGCATGCATGTTACCGAAAGTGGACCGTTAACGTTAGGTGATCTGTGAGTTCGGCTTCTCTCCGGTGGCTTGAATCGCCGGCGTCATAAGTTTAGACGAGGTTGTGGCTTGTGTAGTGAAGGGCAGATGAAGTAGAAGATGGAAGAGTTAATATGCCGGCTTCTTGCGGGGATTCTGGCTCGATTGCTGGCGAGGCAGCTGCTGGAGTTTAGGGGAGAGCGGGGTTCTGGTTGGAGAAGTTTTTGTTGTTGTTGTTGATTGTTTGTTCTTCTATGCCAGAAGGTTGAATGATGCTGAACCGTAGTTTAAATGCTGGAGCGTTTGTAGCGGGAAGCATTCTTCCAAAATGAAGATAGTGCAATGGGGAGAAAGTGATCCATTTATACTAAGCTAGGATCATTCTGATTGGATTATTACTGATTACGGATGAGTGGCCAGCGGTGCACAATCATATCACGTGCTCCTCTCGAAATTAGTTTATGAAACTTCACTTATTTGAGATAATTTACATCCAAGTCAGGTGAACTGTATAGGAATTACAACAGTTTACATTTGTGCCTCCAACTTGTTAAGGGTCCAATAGTAATTGGAAAATTGGCTTATAAGCTGTTCCATGGCCAAGTGTGTTATTCCCGTATTATCCCAATTACAATGAGCAGATAAAAAGTCCTGAGATCATTTTAAGTGTGCTATTTGCATCTGCAATCTGATGCTGTCAACTCTCAAGATGAGATCCAAAGAGCTATCACTATCAGTGAAGCAAGCCATCATTAGGCAAAAAAAAAAAAAAAAAAAAACTATCAGAGAGAAAGCAAAAACATTATGAGTAGCTAAAACAACAGTTTGGAACATTCTTAAAAAGAAACCATGCACCAGTGAGCTCAGCAACACCAAAAGACCTGGAAGACCATGTAAAACAACTGTGGTGAACGACTGAAGAATTATTTCCCTGGTGAAGAAAACAGCCTTCACATCAGTTGGCAAGATCAGGAACACTCTACAGGATGTAGGTGTATGTGTGTTAATGTCAACAATCAAGAGAAGACTACACCAGAATGAATGCAGAGGGTTCACCACAAGAAGTAAACCATTGGTGAGCCTCAAAAACAGGAAGGCCAGATTAGAGTTCTAAAAAGACTTAACAGTTCTGGAAAAACATCTTATGGAAAGAAAAGATCAAAATCAACTTGTACCAGAGTAATGGGAAGAGAAGAGTATGGAGAAGGAAAGAGACTGCTCATGATCCTAAGCAGTGAAGCATAATGGTTGGAGTAACATAGCGTAGGCATGTATGACTGCCAATGGAACTGGTTCTCTTGTGTTTATTAATGATGTGACTGCTGACAAAAGTAGCAAGTTGAAGTAATTCTGAAGTTTTACAGACAATATTCTCCGCTCATATTAAACCAAATGCTTCCGAACTCATTGGACGGTGCTTCGCAGTGCAAATGGAGAATGACCCAAGGCATACTGCAAAAGCAGCCAAAGAGTTTTTAAAGGGAAAGAAGTGGAATGTTATGCAATGGCCAAGTCAGTCACCTGATCTGAATCCAATTGAGCTTGCATTTTATTTGCTGAAGACAAAACATGACGGGGAAAAAGCCCCTTGAACAAGCATGAACTAAAGACCTGGCAGAGAACCACCAGGAATGAAACTCAGCGTCTGGTGATGTCTATGCATTCCAGACTTCAAGCTGTATTGACTGCACAGTTTTTGCAACCAATTAATTAAAAGTGAAAGTTTTATTTATGATTATTATTCTGCCCAATTACTTTTGGACCTTTAACAAGTGGGAGGCACATATGCAAACTGTTGTAACTCCTATAGCGTTCACCAGATTTGGATGTAAAAAATAAACTCTAATTAAAGCTGACAGTCTGCAGTTAAAGCACATCTCCATTGTGTTTGTGTATAGAGCCAAAAATGTTAGAATTATGTCAATGTCCAAATATTTATGGACCTAACTGTATATCACTGAGAAGTGCAATAAATTAAATAAGTTTTATATACAAAGTATTTGTGTACTGCATGCATGGTTTGTTTAACCAAATGTCATAAATTAGATGGGCCTTACTATCTTCCTTATCCCCACTTCTAGGTGAACTTAGAGCTGAAAAAATTCCAGGAAACAACAAGAATTTCCACTGGTGTTTTCAGTCAATCATTGTGTTTAAAGTCAAAATGTTTGCACCTTGACATTTTTATTTAATTAGCTCAGAAAATGATTTATTAGCTGTTTGTTTTAGTAAGATCATAACACAAATAGTTTTGTTTTTATATTGCTGAACATGTTTCACACTGTGCTGAAACCAGGGTAATTGTCATTTTAAAAACTGGTCAGCACCACATTTTTCCTGTGGTTATGAAATCATGGTCCAAAGCAGGGTCAGCGCTGCACATTCAAATATTTTAAACATTCACAGAAACGTAATGAATTTTAGGCTTTGAAAAAGACAAAACATATATGTAGTTAATTGAAGTGGGGAAGAGACTGTTTCATTTATACCATTTTTCAGTCCAAGAAAAGTCTATTCAGCAAAACCTTACTGGTGGCGTTGGCATTGACTGTACAAAACAAGGATGCAGTGCATAAAGTTAAAGGAGTAGTACACAATCGGATTGTTCCTTCTTGATTTTCTTACCTTCTATTGAACACATATACATTGATAGTCACTATTGTCTTCCGTAGCAGGAACATTTTACTGCCATTTTGGCCTATTTTTATTGACTCCTTGTTCATTTTAGTGGCTGAAGTGATTTTAACATCTTAATCTTTTTTAAGTTTTAAAGGTATTAAATGGCCTGGAACTAACAAACCGCATCTTTTAGAATGACCATTCAGTGTCATTTGTCCCTTGTGTAAGGCTGAAGAGCAGGGATGACCATGTGTCAACAGTGACAGGCCCTAGACTTTAGAATGATCTGCTTTTACGTTTTAGAAAGACCTGAACATTTTCTGTTTTTAATTCTAGCTTAAAAACCAAAGCTTTATAGTCTGGTGTGATTTGATTTGATGTTAAGGAAATTCAACTACCCAAGTGGTTCTAAACTTTAATGAATTTCTGTCTTCTGTTGAACACAAAACTATAAAATAAAATAAAGCTATTGACACCCATAATAGGAACAAAAAAAACTATTTAAGTCAATGGTTGATGCTTTCCCATCTTCTTCAGAATGTATTCCTTTGCGTTCAACAGCAGAACGAAACTCAAACAGGTTTGGAACAAGTGGAGGATAAATAATTGATGGCAGAATTTTAATTTAAGAGTAACCTATCTCTTTTACTCCAGGTAAAGTATGAGCAATGTAAGATGTGAATCAATAAAACCCAGAATTCTTTTTTCCAGGGGTTTAGAATGGCCAGTGGTTAACTATTTCAAGTGCGAAAAGCACGTTAATGTAATGAGTGAACTGTGCACAATTGTGCACAAACTACTCTTATACAGAGCAAAAAACAGAAGAACTTTGTGAAGAGTATAGCTCATCTGCAGACTATTTCAGAGGCAAACCTTTGCAACCAAAGCATAATATAAAGTACTTGATAATATCTTCACACTGATTTCCTTAAGCTCTTGACTGTCTCTCAACATTACACAAACCTCTAAACATTACAATAGTTTTTTTTTTTAAACTCATTAATTTCAGTCACACCCTTCTGCTTTCTCCACAGGTTCTCGGGCGTGAGGTGTACACTTCCAATAACCAACTGGGTGGAGTACAGATCATGCACAATAACGGAGTCACACACACCAATGTGTGCGATGATTTTGAGGGAGTGTATACATTGCTGCACTGGCTGTCTTACATGCCAAAGGTATGCTGAAAACAACATGAAAGTTTCATTAAACCCAAAGAATCCGATTTCAAATCTAACAGAGCTGCGTTCCTTTAGAATATGTCCAGCCCTGTGCCGATACTCTCTGCTAAAGATCCCATTGATCGAGCGATAGAGTTTGTCCCAACCAAGGCACCTTATGACCCACGCTGGATGCTAGCTGGACGTCCCAATCAGAGTGAGTAGAGGTTAAATCCTTAGACTTAAATAAAAGTTAAAAAAAAACACTAAGGATTTAGTGCGAGTTAAGCTGCATAGACAGAATGTGACATTATTGACAGTATGTCATCTACTGAACATTGTGGTTATGTTAAAGGCATAGTTTTCTCAAAAATAAAAATTCTGTCATCATTTACTCACTCTTCATATATGACAAATCATAAATATTATGTATAAAAATATATTCAAATTGTATATATTTAAGTTTTCCTGTTTATTTATATAGTGCTTTTACAATGTAGATTGTGCCAAAGCAGCTTAACATAGAATACAAATGCAAATATACACTATATATGCACTTGCAAAGAACACTTGTATTAAAAGGGTGGTCCACTTTGATATCAAATGTTAAACTTTAGTTGATGTGTAATGTAGCTGTGTCACGATTCACAGCACATTATGTTAGCTGACCAATCAGAGCCTCTTCAGGGCAGGCTTTTGGAGGAACTAGGAAATATGACAGTTGTTTTCTTGTTAGCTAAGAAGCTGTATATAATCAAATAAGAAACAATAACGTGATTTTTTAATATTTATTTTTTTTACGAATAAAGCATGAGCATATAAACCCTATATACAAATCCAAGCCCTAAAATACACTCTGGACCACCCCTTTAAAACACTGCTAGTTTTGTATTAAACCATTTTTTACTGTTGACCTTTTTATATCTTGTGCTTTGTGGATGCGTTTTAGTGTCCAGTAATGGATGACTGTAGTTGGAGGGTTTATGTTTGAGGTACACACTAGGTCTCTCCACAAAGAGATAAGGCACTCTTGGATATATGGAGTGTTTTTTTATTGACTAGACTGATTACACATCACTGTAATTGCCACAGTGAGGTTGGGAGATATCGGGAGCGGGTGGCAGAGAGAGGAATCTTTGTCTCAGTGCTCAGACAGGTCTCAGTGTAATTGAACGGTAACCTCTTCTACAGCGAGCATATGCTTCTCTTCAGCTGAAGTCTGCATATGTCTGACAAAGAGAGGGTGCTAATGCTACTCTGATGGTCTCTTTTTCTGTAAACAGACATTAAGGGTGCATGGGTGAGTGGGTTCTTCGACCAGGGCTCTTTTCTGGAGATCATGCAGCCATGGGCACAGAGTGTTGTCGTAGGACGGGCCAGGTAAGCACTGATTGATGCATACAACAGACACAAAAAGTATTTGAACTCAAGTCTTATTACCATATGAATGCCTTTGTTTTGAGTCACAAAACAGGCATATAATGTCTTTGTATATATATATATTTTTTTTTTTTTTGAAAACTGTGCTTGTGGTATCATTCTTTTAAATAAATGGCACATCCAATATCATGCATTCACAAAATACAGATCTTTGTAATGATTAATCACACTCATCCGTGAACTTGTGTTGACCCCCTTTCCTGAATGCTTAAAGGGCTGCACTTGTCGATTGGAAAGGTCCTGCACTGATAAATGCACTTTGAAAGCTCCTTTGGGGAACATTAGCTCTATATGTCTTCTTGTGTTCTCTTTTAGTTGTTTGACACAATACAAACTGACATCGAATATGTCGATTTTGTTGAACTTGGTATTATCTGTCCACCTGATAAAGCCAGATATATATGTTTTGTTTTATTATGTTTGCATTTAAAATAAGTATTTTTATATATTATTTAAATATTATTACATATTTGTTTTAATCTTAAGTGTTGTTAAATAAAAGTAATGGCCAGGGAATGAAATGCAGTTACAAATTATAGTTAATTTTAAAAAGGGCTGCCTCCGAATGGTTAAATAAATGTTTTTCAGTGAAAAGATTTTTACATTTTTGTATATACTGTTGAAGTCAGAATTATTAGACCCCTGTTTATTTTTTCCACAATTTCTGTTCAACGGAGATAAGATTTTTTTCATCTTTTATTCAAGCCAAAATAAACAAATAACACTTTCTCCAGAAAAAAAATATATATTTTCAGACGTACTGAGAAAATTTCCTTGCTCTGTTAAACAAAATTTGGGAAATGTTTAAAATTCAAAAGGGGCCAATAATTCTGACTTCAACTGTACATATACAGTGTGGTGAAAAATTATTTAGTTAGCCACCAACTGTGCAAGTTCTTCCACTTAAAAAGATGAGAAAGTAATTTTCATCATAGATATAACTCAACTATGAGAGACAAAATAAGAATTAAAATTCAGAAAATCACATTTGTTGGGAGTTTTATGAATTATTGGTAAATTCCTCTGGAAAATAAATATTTGATCTCTTACAAACAATCTAAATTTCTGGCTCTCACAGACCTGTAACTTCTTCTCTAAGAGGCTCCTCTGTCCTCGTCTCGTTATCTGTATTAATGGCATATGTTTGAACTCATTATCAGTATAAAAGACACCTTTCCACAACCTCAAACTGTCATACTCCAAACTCAGCCAAGACCAAAGCTGTCAAAGGACACCAGAAACAACATTGTAGACATGCACCAGGCTAGGAAGAATAAATCTGCAAATGGTAAGCAGTTTGGTGTGCATTTATTAGAAAATGGAAGACATACAAGACCATTGATATTCTCCCTCGATCTGGGGTTCCACGCAAGATCTCACCTTGTGCGGTCAAAATGATCGCAAGAACTGTGGGCAAAAATCCCAGAACCACCCGGGGGACCTAGTGAATGACCTGCAGAGAGCTGGGACCAAAGCAACAAAGGCTACCATCAGTAACGCACTTCGCCGCCAGAGACTCAAATCCTGCAGTGCCAGACGCGTCTTTCTGTTAAAGCCAGTATATGTCAAGGCTCGTCTGAAGTTTTATAGAGAGCATTTGCAGGATCCAAAAGAGGATTGGGAGAATGTCATACGGTCAGATGAAACCAAAATGGTACTTTCTGGTAAAAACTCAACTTGTGCTCAGAGAAGAAAAATGCTGAATTGCATCAAAAGAACACCATACCTACTGTGAAGCATGGAGGTGGAAACCATGCTTTAGGGCTGTTTTTCTGCAAAAGAACAAGAATGACTGATCTGTGGTAAAGGAAAGAATGAATGGGTCCATGTATAATGAGATTTTGAGTGAAAAACCTTGTCAGCAAGGGCATTGAAGATGAAACGTGCCTGTGTCTTTCAGCATGACAATAATTCCAAACACAACTCACAGGCAACGAAGAAGTGGCTTCATAAGAAACATCTTATCGTCCTGGAGTGGCCTAGCCAGTCTCCAGAACTCAACCCCATAGAAAATCTTTGGATGGAGTTGAAAGTCTGTGTTGCCCAGCGACAGCCCCAAAATGTCACTGCTCTGCGAGGAGGAATGGGCCAGCAACTGTGTGTAAAAACTTTGAGAAGACTTAGAAAACGTTTTATCTCTGTCATTGCCAACAAATGGTATTTAACAAAGTATTCAGATGTAACTGTTACTTACCAAATACTTATTTTCCACCACAATTTGCAAATGAATTCATTAATAATCCTACAATGTGATTTTTTTATTTTTTTTTATTTTGTCTGTATATATAATGATAAAGTTAATATTTTGGGGTTTATTTCATTTGTACCTATTTGACAACCATTCTGTCTTGTAAACTGTAGGTTGGGTGGGATCCCAACTGGAGTAGTTGCCGTGGAAACCCGATCAGTGGAGCTTTCAATCCCAGCAGACCCAGCTAATCTGGACTCGGAAGCCAAGGTGGCCACTTATTAATAAGAAAGTAATAAGAAATGTGTCTTGTTATGTGACTTGTGGCTGGAAGTAGACTAGCATTTTGTACTCTTTCTGTAGATAATCCAGCAGGCTGGGCAAGTGTGGTTCCCTGATTCTGCTTTCAAAACTGCACAAGCCATTAAAGACTTCAATAGAGAGGGACTTCCGCTTATAGTGTTTGCCAACTGGAGAGGTTTTTCTGGAGGCATGAAAGGTTAGTCATACAGAAAGTAAACTTGGATATTCTCTTGTAAATTTTTTTTAATGGTCTCTACCTCATGCTCTCCTGCCTTCAGACATGTATGACCAGGTGCTGAAGTTTGGAGCGTATATAGTGGACGGTCTGAGAGAGTACAGACAGCCGGTTCTGGTGTATATCCCACCACAGGCGGAGCTCCGGGGAGGATCATGGGTTGTCATAGACCCTACTATCAATCCTCGCCACATGGAAATGTATGCAGACAAAGACAGCCGGTAAGAATCAGGATATAATTCTAAAAAGTTTTATTTTTTTTATTTATTTATTTTTTTGTGTGATTTAGTTTTGTTTAAATTTGTTTGGTGTAACTTCCTTTTATTTATTATTTCTTTTGCTTTTATTTTGTTTTGTTTTGTTTTGCTTTATGTTTTCATTTTATGAAAATGTTTTTAATTGGTTTTATTTACCTTGGTATAGTTTGTTCTGTTCGCAATATTATTTTAATTTTTTTTTTTTTTCTAATGGGGGGGTGCTTATATTTCATTCTTATATTTTTTTGTTTTGTTAATTTATAAGTAAATGATTGTTCTGCTTTTGATTTGATTTTATTTTTGTTTTATTTGTGTATTTATGTTTAATTTTCACTTTTTTGTTTGCTTGATTTTCTTTTGATTTTGTTTTGCCTGTTTTCGTTTAATTAAAATTTCAGTGTAACTTTGTAATGTGTTTTGATTGCTTTTGTTTTGATTTGTTTTATTTAGTTAGATTTTGTTTATTTGGTTGTGCTTCACCTTTTTATTTTATGTTTTTTTTTTATTTTGTTACGTTTAGTTTCATTAAAACAAAACAAAAATATATATTTTGTGTAGTTTTGTTTGGTATTGTTTTGTTTCGTGCTCTTCGTCACTGTACACAAATATTTATACCTTACAAGCAAGTTATTTTTAGAGAAAGCATTTTCTGTTTTAAAGGCGTTTGCTGTAATGGCCTGTTTGAATGAGCTTATCCATCAGTGTATGTGTTCTGCAGTGGCGGTGTGCTGGAGCCTGAAGGCACAGTGGAGATCAAGTTCCGCAAAAAAGACCTGGTGAAGACCATGCGACGGGTGGACCCTGTGTACATGGGGCTTGCAGAAAGACTGGGCAAGTAGTTCACATGGCTCAGTCTCAACCGAAATCAGATCTCGTTTTATTGGCTATGAACGTGTATGGTATTAAAACTCTGCTGATGGTGTCAACCCTCTCTCTTCTCCCTGAGGAGATGTGTCAATCACAAGGGTCTCCGATCAATCAAACCCTGTTGCTGTTCTGCACCTCCTCCGATCGATTACCCCCTCAGCAGTCACTAAAGAGAACCGGGCCACCAGAGTAGCCGGTGGTGTCGCTCTGAATGATTGGCTCTGATGGGATCGATCTCTCTCAAACAGCCACAGGGTGATGGGAGATCCTCTGATGGACGGCACTGTGGTGGTGTGCTTTAGTCTTGCTGATTTTCAAGTATAAAACATGGGGTCAGCACGCAGATGCAAAAATAGCCAAATTACACACGTTAGCTTAAAAAATCAGTTCACTACCGGAAGGAACATTTCCTTATTAAGTTATTTGCAACCTTGTCATGCGGATTAATTTCTTATTTTTTTAGCTAAAAAGAAATGTTAAGTTTTTGAGCAAAACATTTCAGCATTTTACTTTATATACTGTGCTCCGCATAAATAAGTACACCCCTTACTAATCTATCTTTTAAATTTATATTTTTTGTAGAAAGCTATGCAATATTATATTTGTCCAAATACATTAGATTAGTCAGTACTGAAGCCAAATCTGGTGCTTATCTAACAAAATAACTTACGATAACGTATATATCTACACCCAAATTTATATGTCATAGAAAAATATTAAATACAAATTATAAAAAGAGGAAAAATCAAAAGAAGCAAAAAAAAAATTTAAATTGAAAAAGAATTTTTGTATTTTTAAATTTTGAAGAATTTTTTTATTTTTGTAAATGTTGTATTTTGCTTGATTTTAATTGTATTATCTTTCAATTGCTAAATATGTTTTGTGACTAAAATATTATTTTAATTAATATATCTATTTAATAAATCTGTTTTGTTGAAATGCACCAAAATACATTGCCTATATTCACTGGGAAATGGATAGAAATATTTGTTTTCAAAATGTGGTGTACTCAATTATGCTGAGCACTGTAATGGATGATTACTGTGCTCAAGGGTTGGAACTTCCAATGATTCCAGCCAAGGAATATAAATATATATATATATATTTTTTAATCTAATTATATACATTTTTAAATAAAAACCTGGTGCCACAGAACTAGTGGAAGATGAGCTCTTGTGGTTAAAAAGTAGATCTCTTTCTCTCTTTCTTTTATTTCCACACATCATTTTATGTCAACACGATGCCAGGGACATGCAGTTTGTTCCAACATATTCATATTGCTATGATCAAATATTTTCTCAACTACTGCTTTTTCATCAATCATTTTTGTTGTGTTTTTGCTATCAAGGCTGCATTTACACTGCATGGTTTAAGTGACTCAATTGCAATTTTTTTCTGTCATGTGGCACAGATTGGATATAACCCATGTACGTGTAAAAAAAAAAATCATATGGATTCCGATTTACTCAAATGAGTTTCAGGCCTTGTTCATGTATGCAAATTTATCCGATATGAATCGGATCTGTGTTCTTGTGTCTTCAGTGTAAGCAGGTAGATCGGATTTTTAAGTGTTAATGTAAGCAGCGCGCATCATTAAAAACCATAGCAAATGACTTCAAGTCTGATGCTTTCATTTCAGAACAGACTTCAGCAGCATCCCAAACCTTAAATCTCATACAGGAGAACTAAATACGCTTATATATTGTCATCTAGAGAGAGCGTAACATCAGCCATGTAACCAACATAAATTATTATAAATCTGTGGCATACATCACCTGCATAAATCATGGACAAGCCATGGACAATACATTAGGATGCCTACTGGTTTAAAAAATCCTTGATTAGAAAAAGATGGACAAATAAGAACTTTTCTGTCATAAATTACAGTAAAACAACAACTTGTCAAAAAGAATTTACAACATTTAAACCATGTGAACACATTAAATACAGGAACAGAGAAAAGAGTGCTCTTTTATTATCAGCTGTCGGTCAGCATCCGCTCTTTTTTTTTTCCTGGTCATTGCGTCTTTGTCGTGTGCTGTGTAAATGCAGACAATCTGATATGAGTCACTTTTAAAAGCGGGTCAGCAAAAAATTTGGATACATTCACAAAATCGGAATTGACCATCAAGATCTGCAGTGTAAATGCAGCTCAAGAGGAACGCATGCAGCAAATTGGTTAAAATACCAAAGGTAGCAGTAACAAGCATAGATAATAATAAAGTTTTCTAATTTCTGAATTGAATCTTTTTAAAACCAAGTGATAATTAAAGTTTTGGGTGTTTTTGTTGTTTTTCGTTCAAACTTGAAGTCTGCATGAGTCGCAAGTTCCTGAGAATTTTATTTCAGTTTGTTGATGTACTTTCAGCCGAAACAGAAAGTATAGTGGGACGTGTGGCTTTCTTTTTGCACATTATTCCTTTGTAGCAGTAATAGGGGCGTGGTTAAGAATATTGTGGCTGAAGATTACCAAAACAAACATTATTTTTTTTCAGTTGAATAACTTGCATGGATTAATTCTTCACCTAATGAATAACAATTTAAATTGTACATTTTGATTTCACACAGACTTTAAAGGGCACCCATTTTACCCCTTTTACAGAATGTAAGATAAGACTTTGGTGATACCAGAATGTATCTGTAAAGATATCCATCAGAATATTATTATATACTGTAGAATCAGCCCATTTTGGTGTCTGACTACAGTGTAGCTGTTTTTGTAGCCTGCGGCTTTAAATCCAATGGCGCTGCTTTTCCCCACCTGCCACTTGTTTCTGAGTTCACCTGCTTGCTTGTCATGCGTTACGTCAGATAGACAGCAGTCAGTGATAGAGACAGTCACGGTTGAAGCTGAAATAAGGTCACTAGTCAAAAATACCAAGTGAGTTTATTTGATGTATTTCTGGAGATTATTCAAGCCTTTCTGAAATAATGAGTCACACACAAATGTTGTTTGCATTACACACACAAATGTGCACGTTTACTGACACCATGTAGCCGTGATGATTATAGTGGTTAAGAATTACATAGTGATTTTACTGTCTTTAAAACAAACATGCTGTTTTATGCCTAATTTATTTGAAAAAAAAAAAAAAGTTCTGTAACCATAATTATTGAGACATGACACCTATCAGTCAATTCAGTGGGCAGGGAAAACCACACTACTATGTCATGTTGTGGTGGGCCTTAAAATGGGAGTGATTTGGATTCTATTTTAACAGCAGTAAATTTTAAAACAGAGACGTATTGTGTTTCTATCACTCCAATATGACAGTGGACACACTATACCTACACACAGTTCTGTCCAAACAGCTTACAAAACTTGACATTTTCATAGGTGCTCTTTAATAAAAGTGCTCTTAATGTTATTTAAATACTTTACAATTGTTTCTTTCAATTTTAATTTTTTTTTCAATGAATTAGTAGATGTAAGTTAATAACTATTAACAGTAACGTTGCAACTTACTTATTGTTTACCCATTTAACAATGTAATACTGTTTACAATTTTACAATTTAAAAACATGAGCCACAATAATGGCAATTAAGATTTACCATTTCTTATGGATTGATCTTTCTTCCGCAAACAAAAAAATCTCATTAAAAGGTTGTTGCTAAATATTATATCACAGGGTGGCCTTACTGATATAAGGTGCATATGTTTATATACATTCTCCACACTATTAAATTTGTTCATTTGTTTTCCTCTGTGTAATCAGGAACCCCAGAGTTGAGTGTGTCTGAGCGTAAAGAGCTGGAGAGTAAACTAAAAGAGAGAGAAGAGTTCCTGCTGCCCATATATCATCAAGTAGCTGTTCAGTTCGCTGACCTTCATGACACACCGGGCCGCATGCAGGAGAAAGGAGTCATCACTGTCAGTACACTTCAATGCATTTCAATAACTCCCAAATACGTTTCTATTCATCTTTCTCCATACTGAACAATCTGAAGTTCATTTTATCTGTAATTGTCATGAATTTATGTGTACTCGATGTTCGCTTGTATTGTGCGTGTTCAGGATATCCTTGAGTGGAGCACGTCTCGGCAGTTTTTCTACTGGCGTTTGCGGAGGTTATTGCTGGAGGAAACGGTGAAGAGGAAGATCCAGTGTGCTAACAGTGAGCTGACGGACGGACAGGTTCAGGCTATGCTTCGCCGTTGGTTCGTGGAAGCAGAGGGAGCTGTGAAAGTACGTTACCCCAAACCTTTTTTTCCCCTCCAGATTATCAAAAATACTTTTTCAGAAATATTTTCCTTATCACTCAAACTATTTGTATATGTTTGAAAGAAGGATTTTGAGTATATTTGAGTTCCGATTACAAATGTAAATGCTCCAAACAGGGATAATAAAGCAATTATTGTGCAATAATTATTATTTACAGCAGAGGTGCCCAAACTCAGTTCTGGAGGGCCGGTGTCCTGCAAAGTTTAGTTCCAATCCCAATCAGATTTGCCTGGGCTAGCTAATCAAGCTCTTACGAGGCTTTCTAGAAACATATGTGCTGATGTGTTGAGACAAGTTGGAGCTAAAATTTACAGGACATTGGCCCTCCAGGACAGAGTTTGGACACCCCTGATTTACAGGATTAGAATCGAGGTTTTAAAGTCCCTATGAAATCAAAATATGATCTAGTGTGCTCCAACACAGTGACAAAGTGTGCATTTAGAATTTATAAACTTTCCAAATTTTTAATTTTTTTAAACTTCTCTTTCTCATCAAATCTTCTGAACAATGAAATGCTCTCTAGTTTTTGATACTTCAATTGCTGAAGCTGAAAAAATTGGTCATTTATTTACGACGTTCAACCCGAAGGTTTGCCGAAACAGCCAAACTGTTGATCTGAACTCCTAGTTAGTCATTTTAAAATACATTGCACACACTGCATACGAATCAGCATACAGGAAACTAGCAGATTCAAAATGAAATCTGTTACACACACTGTCGGTTTTTATTCTAAGAATAGTTATATGATTTCCTTTGGGGTGCATGAAGTCTGTCATCACCTTATTATCACGTGAACCACTGGATCATGCCAGTATATGGACAGTCAGCTTCAGCCTGAAAAACAGTTGCACCAATTGGGTCTATGCACTATGTACAGTTGCCTTGAACCGAGCTGAAGCACGCTTATTCCCACTCCCGTCTCCGCTGACGGCCTACACTCACATTGCATTCGCACCTGAGCACGCTTGCATCATCAATGATGTGCTGTTCAGTAAGAAGCTCTCTAACTCAGCACAGTGGAGATTTCTGCAGTTTTATCGTTTTAGTGGTTTAATATGCAGTGACACGCAGTCAGATATTTCAACAGATCCAAACAGATCCGCCACTTTTGACGCTCATAAATTATCATAAAGTACTCGTACTGCAGGAATTAGGAGGTTTGCTGAAGGTGGTGTGCAGTGAGGGGTTTGCGTCATTAATAATCTACGACAGTTTGCGTTTATTGAAAAGTAAGAATGATTAATAAATCCATATCAAACAGTCTCTTAAAGTCATGTCTTGTCTTCAGTTTCGGGCTCAAGCCCAAGTGAACCGCGCTCTGGTACACCCCTTCCAACCGGGCCAGGGCCAGCCTACTGAACTGCGCCTGAGCCCGATTCAGAGCACTCGCACTTCTCAAACTATCTGTGAAACGGGTCTGGGCATGGTTCGGATAGCATAGTGTAAGTGCACCCTTCTGTACCATGAAGGTAGCTCAGCTTAAATCACTCTTTGGAGCATGGTTATGTTCTGGATTAAAGATCACAAACTGAGATTCAGCCACTCTACTGTGACACATCTCTGATGCAATAAAGCCACTCATCCAGTTTGTCTTGCTGCAAATTGAAGCTTACTATTTAGTAAAACACTTGCCATTTGGCATTTCTGTGTGGAGTTTGCATGTTCTCCTTGTGTTTGTGCGAGTTACCTCCTGAACACAGTCCAAAGACAAGTGCTATAGTTGAATTGAACAAACTAAATTGGCCATAATGTGTGTTTAAATGAGTGGGAATGGGTGTTTCCCAGAACTAGGTTGCAGCTGAAAGGGCATCCACTGTGTTAAACATATGCTGAATAAATTGTCGGTTTATTCTGCTGTGGCCACCCCTGATAAATAAGGGGACTAAGCTGAAGGAAAATGAAATGATTTACATAATTATGTCCATAATTTATTGCACATAAGCAATTTTCGTTTGATAACCCTTTTATTTTGTTCTATTATACATTTACAGATATACTGCTGCAATTGTTTTTTTTATTATTACATATGATCTTAGATTTGCATTTCAGTAAACCTATACAGTGTTTATTATCAACTAAGCTAACTTCACTTCTAATATTTGAGGTCCTCTTTCTGGGATAACTCTTTTCATCTTGCTGTATAAAATGTTTTTGTATTTTTAATTTTTTTTTACCAATTTTTTTTTTAAACTTGTTCCTGGAGGGCCGGTGCCCTGCAGATTTAAGCTCCAACCCTAATCAAACACACCTGAACAAGCTAATCAAGGTCTTACTAGGTATACTTGAAACATCCAGGCAGGTGTGTTGAGGCAAGTTGGAGCTAAACCCTGCTGGGTCACTGGCCCTCCAGGAAGGAGATTGGTGACCCCTGTTTTAAACCATTTAATCTTTGCCTTGCCACAGCAGAATGAACCGCCAACTTATCCAGCATACACTACAGCCATTTTAGTTTATTCAATTTAACTATAGCGCTTGTGTTTGGACTGTGGGCGAAACCGCTGCACCTGGAGAAAACCTACACCAGGGGTGCTCAATCCTGTTCCTGGAGATCTACCTTCCTGCAGATTTCAGTTGCTACCCATATCAAACACACCTGCCTGTAATTATCAAGTGGTGTTTAGGTCCTAATTAATTGGTTCAGGTGTGTTTGATATGGGTAGCAACTGAAATCTGCAGGAAGGTAGATCTCCAGGAACAGGATTGAGCACCCCTGACCTACACCAACATGGGGAGAACATGCAAATTCCAAACAGAAATGTCAACTGACCCAGCTGAGACTCAAACCAGGGACTTGGACCAGGTGACAGGCACCCCCCCAAGAAGGCAATCAAAGTATCGCAGTTTCAAAAGCATGTGATTGGTTGTTTCCTTCATGTGCACACACTCACAAACTCAAAATCAAAGCCTGAAAAAGTTGACGGTCAGCTTCATGGTATTAGCAAAGCCTGATCGCACTGGTTTGGTTTTGTCATCTCAAAACTAATCTTGAGTTTGTTAAACCAGCGTCATGGTACAAACCGCTGGACAATGGGACTGGAAGTGCTAAAACGCTCTATTGATCTAAAAAGGTGACCAAATGTGTTGCTTTTTAGAGACCAGGTGAATTTAATTTGAATAGCAGAGGATTTGAAGTCTTTCTTTTCCGGAAGTGCCATGTGTGTGTGTGTGGACCTGAAAATATATGACCGCTAGAATGGATGAACGTCCCCGAGCTCCGACTAGTCGCCACAGCAGTTCCTGGAGCCGAGCCAAGCCCCTCGGGCAGGTTAAAGTATCTGCCGAAGACGCTGTCTGGACCACTAATACATTAGCCCAATCAGAGTGAGCTATCTTAAGCTACAATTAATCTCCACCCTGCCTTGTGCAGATAGCACAGCAACACGCTGTTTCTTAATTAAAAGCAAACGGATTAAAAATGATTAATATGGGGCATTAAATGTTCTTGCCGACTACAAGTGCTTGCGGTTTTTTAGAAGCGCGGAAGCCCATTAACACCTCGACAAATCTTCACAAGCACAAGTCCAGCTTTGTTTCAGATCAGCCTGATGCTATCGGCCTAAGCCTAAATGAAGAGCCCTTGATTAGGAGTGTGATTTGCTTTTCAAATGGGAACGGCGTCTGAAAGTTTGTTTGTTTCTTTGATTCTTCTTGTGGTTGATGTGTTTTTCTTGCGTTTGTCAGGCGTATTTGTGGGACAGTAATGAAGATGTGGTGGAGTGGTTGGAGAGGCAGCTGGCAGAGGAAGAAGGCGCCAGATCCGTCATCGACGAGAATATCAAATATATTCGCAGAGATCACATCCTCAAACAGATCCGCAGGTAACATTCAGACGTTAGCCTTAATAAATGTATTGATATACAAACCTGGGGAAATGTACAGTTAAAGGCAAATGTTTGAGCCCTCCTGTGAAATTCTTTTTCAAAGATTTCCCAAATGCTGTTTAATGGAGATTTCTCTCAGCACATTTTTAAATATAATCGTTTTAAACACAAATTACTAATAGCTCATTTATTTTGTCTGGCATGATGACAGTATATAATATTTTACTACTTACTTTGCAATTGGTTTAAAGTGAACTGCTGAAGGTAAAGTAACTAAAAATATTAAAGGTGCAGTAGGTGATTGTCTTCAGAACCATTTTTTGTTGTGCTGGTTGAAAGTCTCTTCACATTCCAATAGTAATGGTTAAAATAAATGATCTAAATGTATTTGTATGTATTTTAGATTCTGGGTAAGGCATAATACATAAAAAAATGTTTGTCCAATTATAATTTGTCGGGCCGATAATTCCCAAATTCTGACAAGTAACCCAAACTCTCTGTCAAATGTAGATTAGTAAATCTGCGCAGACGTTCAAGCAGATCCGCTGTTTGCACGTGCACGCGTGCATAAAACAGTCCCAGCAGTAAAAACAAATGCTGAATCAAAGCTTTTTAAAATCCTGAATCATTATTAGAGTTACTTTTGCCTGCTGGAGGAAGGACAACACCATGGCTTAAGTTAAGTATCAGTTAAACTAGGGTCGGTCTTGGAGGGCCGATGTCCTGCATAGTTTAGCTCCGACTTCCTTTAACACAACTTCCTGGAAGTTACTAGTATACCTAGAAAGAGCTTGATTAGCTGGTTCAAGTGTGATTAATTGAGGTTGGAACCAAAATATGCAGGACACCGGCCCTCCAGGACCGGGTTTAGAGCAATTAAACATATTATTTTTAATTTTTTTAAGTTTGGCTGCATAAATTTGCAACACATAATTAACTTGTGAGATGGTAACACATGCAAACACAAGTGCTTAAAGATGTATTTTGACAAAGAAGCAAAATGAAAGAAGAATATTGCTGGTCACAGTTTGACACAGACGCGTTGATGCCAAACCAGCACTGATGCTGATTGCTTCTGTCCTAGATCCATGTCATAATTAATTTTAGTCAACCAACCTAAGGGCTTCTGGTTAATTGTCATCTCATACAAAATTGCAGCGTTAAGATATGATTTCTTTATAAGAAATCTTAACTGCCTGGGTGAGATCCGGTATAACGTGTATATCAGACCAAACAAGAAGCATATGTACAAGAGTATATATGGAAATTAATTTTACCCCAGTATTTTCTATGGAATTTCTGCGCTCGCCTGTTGCTAATGATGGTGCCTGCGTTTAGATGGTCTTTCGTCTCTTTTTACTCTTTAACAGCCACATGGACGCTTAAGTCTCTTTAACGGATTGTATTTTAATTACAATACAACATTGATGCTGTAAAAGGAACCTTATGAAATTGAAAATAGCCACATTAAGCTTTCACCCGAAGTTCGTCATTTGCTAAAAAGCACTAGTTGTGCATAGAGCCCATTCGAGAAAGAAACCACAAAACATAACTTTCTGAGATGCCCACTGCTTTGAAAACAATCCGGCCACAAGTCGAGAGCGTTTGGGTTTTCCCTCCATCAGAGCGTTCTCCGGCATCGCTCATAAACACAACAAATAGGCTATAGTTGTGATGATTTAGTGTACAACCAACAAAAAATGTTTCCATTTAGAAAATGAAAGGTGAAGTTTTTTTTTCCCTCTCCGCTGTCGCCACTGGCTCGCATGGTTCAGGATTGGTAGAGCTACGCATCGATGAATTTGCTCTTCAGTGTTTGAACTCTCAGTAATGATTAAATCACACTGAACTGAGCTAAACTGAACTGAACTTAAACACTAAAAACTGAACTACACTGTTCCAGCTACTATGACCATTTATGTGAAGCTGCTTTGACACAATCTACATTGTAAAAGCGCTATACAAACAAAGCTGAATTGAATTGAAAAATGGCAGTTATTTCTTATAAATTATTAATTTTTAAAATAACCTACATAATCTCAGAATCAAAAAGATTTTCTTGATTTTTGCATAATGATACCTCCGCACCAGTCTGAGTCTTTTATAGCTTATAAAATATGCACGCAATATCAAATGTAAACAACAACATTTTTATACACTATAGTAGCCTATGCTTTACAAAAAGTCAACATATGTGCGCCGTGTCATTGTCTTTCATCACCCGTGAACATAAACTGTGAATGAGACGGAGAAAATGAAAGCACACAAGCTCTAAGGTAAAATCAGATGCTCAAGACATCATCTTTAAACTAATAACTTCTATTAAAACGAGGTTTATGATATGAGAATAACAGCGAAGCATTAATTAAATGCATATTTTCCATAGAGCAATTAATTTTAGGGAGCCCATTTTTATTTGTCAAAAAACAGCCTATGCTGGTTCTTAAAAAGGATTCAGTCGGTGATTTTGATTTGTAATCTAAATGATTTGTAATTTAAGTGAAACTATCTAGGGCAAGACTATTTATTTTATTCTTTTTATTTAGTTTATTCTTTTTTCTATGCTGTTGGTAACACTGCATGTGCGTGAAGATGTTCTGTTGTTGATATGTTTGCATATTAAAATAAATCCATATTTTAGAATGCAATATTTAACGCGTCAGACACAAAATAGACACATCAGTTCATTTACCTAAATAAAATAAAAATGTAATCAGTTAACAGTTAATATTCAGTTTACGAGTGGCAGTTGCCCGCTGACAAAATTAACCGAAATGAACATCCCTACATCAAACATTCAATAATAAAATGCATCTCAAAGCACTTCACTGGACCTTTAATATACAAATAGTGAGAGTGATTTATGTTTACTCTTGGACAATTCTGTTCATATAGTGCTCTTTATTTTATACTTTAAACTTGTATGTAAAGTGGTTCCAAAAAAGTTAAAATACATGAAGAATTTTGACATAAGAAGGTAACAGGTGCTGGTCATGGGCTTCACAGGGGGCTTCAATTACATCATCCCGAAACGGGAAGACAAATGAACGTTTTCTGTGGAATTACCTGATTTAAAATGTCTCGTGATTTTTATTTTGTAAGAGCTATAGTTTATTATTATGTTTGAGATGGTCACACCTGATATGGGTAAAACTTGGATAAAATGTTTGAAGACTGCAGTGTTTTTTTTACATTCTCAAATTAATGCCTTGTTATTCATTTCATCTCTCTTAGCCTGGTTCAAGCTAACCCTGAGGTGGCTATGGACTCCATTGTACACATGACCCAGCACATTTCCCCCACACAGCGCGCCGAAGTCGTCCGCATCCTCTCCACCATGGACACCCCAGCCTCCTCGTAGAATCTCAAAAGCCTGATCTTACTGGAAACCGCAAATAGAGGAGCCAACATGGAGGTTTCTGTGACTGACTTTATGTTGTTGGCTATGATTCTGAAAGTAGTCTTAAGAATGCACAGCAACGCGCACCTTTAGAAACACTAAAAAAATAAAAGTCCTAGTGTTGTCGTTTATAGTTCTGCAGTCTAGTCAAGTGCACTTTTAATCAGCTCTAGATGAACAGAGACCAATTAGAACAAGCTGCCGTTTGTTTTATTTTCTAGAACGTTTATTTGTTTAAAAAGAAGTGCGTTACTGTATGAGTGTGAAAGTTTGCATATGTTGTAATCAGTTTTATTTTATAACAGTCAGGTTGTAACACTAGTTCACGCTTGAAGCGAGCGAGTTGACAACTGGATCACTCCTGATTCACTGGTTATAATGGAAGAGATGGAAGTGTAGATGTTTCTCTTTACATGCAGGATGGTCAGCTGAGCCAAATGACCCCATCAGTTTGTTACTGTACTTGTTTCATGCCCTTGTAGCTTAACCAAAAAAAAAAAGTTTTTTTTTTGTTTAAATATATATCCACTTGTTATAAGTATTCAGTTTGTTTATCCTTTTTTAGCATAAATATGAATATATAATGCTGAGAAGTCATTAATAACTTATTAAATGTAAAAAAGCGCTGCACTCTGTAGTATAACGTGGTACATAATACTGTAAGTGTGTAACTGTAGAACATTCAACTGTAACTGTAGAACATTCAACCTGTTGAATTTGATTGTTACAATATGAATATTCTGGAATGACAAACCAGGAGAGGATCAATATTGGAAAAGAATACTTGAGAGATGAATTGAGTTACACAAGAGATCACAATGTCAGTTATGTCACAACTAAGAGACACGATGCTCAGTTGTGTCCTCATTGATATTACAGTATGCTGGTGGTTTGTGTGACTGGAAAACCTCAAGATGTTACTCCAATTCCAGATTGCGAGCACTACTGCTGGACTCGATGAAAGATTGCGTCAAGTCCACTGTCATGGTGTGACCATCAGGGTGGTAAATTGTTTATCAGTGAACTGAGATCAGAAGCTATCAACCTGCCTGGTCAAAATGGAGGATTTTGTGTTTACTAAGGCAATGTTTTGTTGCCTCTAAAAATAAATAAATGAATAATAAAAGTCAAAGCTTCTTATGTTCGTTTTTAGGGCTGTTTTTTGTTTGAACATTCGGTCATGTCATGAAAGTGTGTTTTCTCTGATGTGCTCCATACACTAGGAGTGTCAAAATGAATTATTTCTTTGATGCACCGCGATGCAGACGTGGACAATTCTGTATCGTTTAACATTTCAAACAAGTATTAGTATTTAATTAATATGTACTAGTATCTTTTAAATAAATTGTAGTATCTATTTCATGAGGACTAGTATCTAAAAAATAAGTACTAGTATCTTTTAATCAGGTAGTAGTATGTAATTAATAAGAACTAGTGCCTAATGATTAACTACTAGTGCAGAAATATATGTGCTAGTCCTAGCTGGAATACATACTATAGTCAAAACTGAGGAGTTGATATCTCAATGACAGATTCCATAGAAATTGATGGAAAATGTTTAATTTTGTTACTAGTAACAACAGAATAGTTACTAATCGCTACTAAAATAAGTACTAGTATCTAATAAATAAGAATCGTATCTATTTAATAAATACTAATATCTAATGAATGAATGAGTACTAGTATCTAATAAAAAAATAGTATCTAAAGAGTCAGCACTAGTATATTTTTATAAAGCACTAGTATCTTAAGAGTAGGCACTAGTACTTAATGGAAAAGATACTAGTATCTAAAAAATAAGCACCAGTAACATGAAAATAAGATACTAATATGGGTTATAACTTGCATGTCAAAACCGCAGAAGTGGGGTTGTAGCATTGCCAGCAGAACTGAGCGCAGATTTGACAGGGTAGTGAAAACACTGAAGATCTACCAGGGAGCTGGACTTAAACCAGATTGTTTTTTTTTAATAATATTATTATGTCATGCTTTTACAACACAATTCAGTGAATAGGTCCTTACTGAAAGAAGAGAATGCAAATACAGTGCATCCGGAAAGTATTCATAACAAAGTTATATTCAATTCAATTTGTTGCACGTTTATTAAAAATAAAAAACCTGCAATATCACATGTACATGTGTATTCATAGCCTTTGCTCACCTTTGGCAGCAATTACAGCCTCAAGTCTTTTTGAATATGATGCCACAAGCTTGGCACACCTGTCTTTGGGAAATTTTGCCCATTTCTCTTTGCAGTACCTCTCAAGCTCTATCAGGTTGGATGGAAAGCGATGGTGTACAGCCTTTTTCAGATCTCTCCAGAGATGTTCAATAGGATTTAGTTCTGGGCTCTGGCTGGGCCACTCAAGAACATTCACAGAGTTGTTGTGAAGCCACTCCATTGATAATTTGGTGGTGTGCTTTGGGTCATTATCCTACTGGAAGATGAACCATCGCCCCAGTCCGAGGTCAAGAGCACTTTGAAGCAGGTTTTCATTAAAGATGTCCCTGTACATTGCTGCATTCACCTTTCCCTCTATCCTGACTAGTCTTCCAGTTTCTGCGGCTGAAAAACATCCCCACAGCATGATGCTGCCACCACCATGCTTCACAGTAGGGATGGTATTAGCCTGTTGATGAGCGCTGCCTGCTTTTCTTCAAATGTAACGCCTGGCATTCACTCCAAAGAGATCAATTTTAGTCTCATCAAATCAGAGAATTTAGTTTCTTATGGTCTGAAAGTCCTTCAGAAGCCTTTTGGCAAATTCCAGGTGGTTTCCGTATGGTCACTCTACCATACAGGCCTGATTGGTGGACTGCTGCACAGATGGTTGTCCTTCTGTAAGATTCTTCTCTCTCCACAGAAGAATGCTGGAGCTCAGACTGAGTGACTATCAGGTTATTGATCACTTCCCTGATTAAGGCCCTTTTCCCCCATCACTCAGCTTAGATGGCCGGCCAGCTTTAGGAAGAGTTCTGGTGGTTCCAAACATCTTCCACTTACAGTTGATGGAGGTCACTGTGCTCATTGGAACTTTCAGAACAGCAGAAAATTTTCTGTACCTTTCCCCGGCCTTGTGCCTCTAAACAATCCTGTCTCGGAGGTCTACAGGTAATTCCTTTGTCTTCATGCTTGGTTTGTGCTTTGGCATGCACTGTCAACCCTGGGACCTTATAAAAAGAGGTGTATGTCTTTTCAAATCATGTCTAATCAACTGAATTGACTACAGGTGAACTCCAATGAAGCTGCTGAAACATCTCAAGAATGGTCAGTGGAAACAGAATGTACTTGAGATTAATTTAGAGCTTCACGACAAAGACTGTGAATACTGATGTACATGTGATTTTTCAGGTTCTTTTATTTTTAATAGATTTGCAAAACTTTCAAAAAAAAAAACATTTTCACATTGTCATTATTGGGTACTGTGTAGAATTTTGAGGAAATAAAACAAATTTGATCTATTTTGGAATAAGGCTGTAACAAAAAATGTTTAAAAAGTGAAGCGATATGAATACTTACTGGATGCACTGTACTCAAGCAAAACTTTTGCTATTAATAAAGTGCTACTATGTTAATTTCAACAAATCAGAATAGGTGTTGTTCGAGATAAAATCCTGAAAGGTTTGTAACCTTTTATTCTACCAAAAGATAATCAGTGCTCATCTTCCTAAGAGAAATCAAATGGCAGACAGAATGATCCAGGAACACACTTTCATTGATTTATCAGTTCTCCAATCATTCTCTCATTCAGCCCCCTCTGAGTGGCTTTCTCAGTCTATATTCCTTCTACCCACCAACAACCAAATTGAATCACACCAATTCAATAGCCAATTATATTTATGACAGACACAATAATGAAAACTTAAGCAGATAATTGAAGGTGAAGGTTCCTCTGATACCACAGATCAGATAACATTACAGAACGCTTCCAGACAAGGGAATTCATTTAGAGGTAGATATCGCTTTCACTAGATTTAATCATGTGCTAACAGTACAATTAGGACATCAATGAAAACACTCTGTGTGTGTGTGTGTGTTGACAATGTTTTTAATATAAAGAGGCACTAAAATGTGTCAGCTCACAAATCACAATAACTCTTTAGTTTCATTTACAGCAAGTCACTTAAAGAAGGAAATATGTTTGGGGTTCCTGAGGGATTTCACCAGCAAGAGCAGTAGATAAGTATGGGCGCGTGTGTGGACATCTGTAGTACACACACACCCGGAGTATAAGCATGTTGGGACAGATGTTTCAGTCATTGTGTTGTCACTGGACCATTTGCAAACAAGGAACGAAACAGCTCAGACCTGAAAACAAACAGAACAAAAGCAAAATTTACTTCTGGAAACAAAGACCTTCACAAAAATATTGTCATGAAAAAGCGCGACTAGTAAATGACTAAAACTAACAACTAGGAACTTAATATATGAACTAACATAATACTAGTATGCAACTAAAAACTACAATCTATTTCTCATCGTAAGTTGTGTGAGTATCTATAAGCGTTACTATTTAATGATTAAATACCAGTACAAAAAATAGGCACTATCAACTTAAAAAAAGATCTTATAACCAAATAAATAATTACTACTATATAAATATGCATTTTAAAATGATAACAGAATCCCACACAAGTCAAAGGTAAAACTGTAAAGCTTGTTACAAGAGACAAAAGTTTTATTATTATTAAGTACTAGTGAAAGTACTAGTATGAGATTAGGTACTGGTATACAGGTGAAAGAACCTAATAAATAGTTGTTATTATCTAATAAGCAGAAGCATTTAAAGCAGGCACGTGCAGAGGTGGGGGCTTTGGGTGCTTAAGCCTTTGCCCTTTTTTCCTGGGGATAGTAATTATTTTTTTATATACTAATAATAATACAATATAATATACAGTTAAAGTCAAAATGATTCACCCCCGTTTATTTTTTTTCCCAATTTCTGTTTAACAGAGGAGATTTTTTTTACAACACATTTCTAAACATAAATAATTTTTAATAACTGATTTATTTTATTTTTGCCATGATGACAGTAAATAATATTTGACAAGATATTTTAAGACACTTCTTTACAGCTTAAAGTGACAGTTAAAGGCTTAACTTAATTAGGTTAACTAGGCAGGTTAGGGTAATTGGGCAAGTTATTGTATAACGACAGTGTGTTCTGTAGATTATCGAAAAAAAATGTATAGCTTAAAGGGTCCAATAATTTTGACCTTAAAATGTTTAATAAAAAATTGAAAACTACTTCTATTCTAGCCGAAATAAAACAAATAAGACTTTCTCCAGAAGAAAAAATATTATCAGACACACAGTGAAAATTTCCTTGCTCTGTTGAACATCATTTAGGAAATATTTAAAAAAGAAAAAAGAAATTGGATTAATTTAGACTTCACATGTATACTAAGTGAATGGTTTTTGGTGTTCTGTGGCACTGAACCTGCAGAGACTGGAAAACAGCCGGGTATAAAAGTAAATGTCCATCAAAGTGGCATAAAGAGCCTGAGAATGTGCTCAACCGTGACTAAAGGCCACCAATCCTAATAGATAAAGTGTGGCCCTGTTTAATGCAGAGAGGACAAAAGCACACAAGCGTGGCCCCGAGATTGAGGTGCTGATGTCCCAAAGGGGCCGGACTGAGAGCAGACCAACAGACCCAGACTTAATCCCAAATCCCTGTTAGAAATGCATCAGCAGCGTTCAGGATTACAGCGCCGTGCATACATTCAGATCCCAACCGAACCTGGAGAACCCAGAGTACGAGGCTCTTCCTATCAGAGACAAATGCATTGTGATGATCTCTTAAGCTGTGTGTGTGTTGTTCCTGCATTGACGGCATTAACATTCATGGCTGCAGTGGTGCGTGTCGGGTGTTATAGAGCTGCTGTTGTGATACGGCGGAGGGAAAGTGTTTGTGTTTATGTGCATCTGGAAAAGGTCGCTGAAAATTTCTCCTCTGCAAAGGTCAGCGGCCACTCTCTGATGCCATCGGCATACATCATTATTACTGTAGTTCAACAATTGTTATGTAAATAAGACCAAGCCGGCGTGTGTGTGTTTGTGCGTGTGGATGGTAAAAAGGTCAGACATCAGTTTGTGTCATCCGTGCTCTGATAAAGGTGTTATCAGTG